GTGGCCTCCATCGAGCCCAGCGCCGGGCACGCCAACCGCGAGGGCGACGAGGTGGTTTGGGAGGTCCCGCGCGTGGACCGCCAGCACGACCCTTCGGGGAATATCGAAATCCACCTCGACCCGGCGGACGCGGCGCGCGAGGCTCAGGCGGAGTCGATGTTCTTCCCGATTAACATCTCCTTCCTCTCAAAAGTGAGTATGGGGCTGGTGGACGTCAAGGAGGTGACGAACATTGAAACTGGGCTTCCCGTACCCCACACCCAGCAAATCACCTTCACTACAGACCGCTTCGTCATCGAATGAGGAAACCCACGAAGGCGTCGTGGAGCGTCCGCGCTCAGCGCGTCATCCCGTACTTTTAACGATTGGGATCTTCATTGGTGACTTTTTTAGCATACTCCTTTTGCGAGAAGGCGAGGAGGGCTCCCTCGGTGCGGCGGCAGGCCTTTCCGTAGGCGTTGTGGTTTGGGGGAGGGGGAGACATTGGGCTGCGGATTCATCCGTGGAGGATGACGCATCATAGTGACCGAGGGGCCAAGGAGAAGGTGAATATAACAACAAAAAAAAAAGACAAGGACCGACGACCCCTTTGGGTTTTATTTTTCCGTCATTAAATTTTAGAAAGATCGGAAACCTATCCCAATGTGGTGCGCCAGTCCGACGCATCCATATGTTTACCCTCCCGAACTTTTTCACAAGATTTTTTAACGCATACCTATATATATATATATATATATTGTAAAAGGAGGAGGAGGCTCTCAGTTTGAGTTTTATCGCTGGTTTCATTTAGTATTTGCATGTTTGACTGTATGGTAGACTCTTCGTTGCGTACGCTATGTTGGAATAGTTAACAAATTAAAGAAGAGTTGAAGTTATCCACCACCCTTTACCTCCTTCCTCACATATGCGCAAACTTGGCTTTGTTTGGATTCATGGAATAAATATATATATATATAACCTAAACGGTAATTTAGCTCTTGGAAAAGAAAAAAGGAGCATTTTATCCCTTCTAATCTTGCTTGGTGGATGACCTTCGCATTTAAGCACAATGTTTCTTTCTCTCTCTCCTGGTTTACTCTCATCTCTGGATGTTGATAATGACATCGAACTATTGAAACTATCTTATCAAAGGAATCTTGAGGAAAAGTAACATATTTTATATTTGTTAACAGAGAAAAAACACTCAATCGAAAATGGGTCGCTTCAAGCCGCTTGCCATCAAGATGAAGTACGCGAAGAAGATCAAGCAGAACCGCCCTGTGCCGTACTGGATCCGTCTGCGCACTGGTAACCGCATCAAGTGGAACGAGAAGCGCCGCAACTGGCGCCGCACGAAGCTCAACTACTAAGTTGTGCAGAGAAGCCGATCGGAGCTATTTCCAAGAATAAGCGGCAGCCGCACCCCCCGACGAGGGGGGACTTCGTTTGTGTTGTGCTTGGGTTTTCATTCCAACGGAAATGCGCCTTCTCCTCTCTTTCCTAATTTTTTTTACTGATTAAGTGCTGTACTTCCATTCGGTGCTTAATGTGCATTTTTCATTTCTAATTTCAACTTTAGCGAATGCTTTCTCTCCCTTTTTTTAGGGAGAGCAAAGGAACTCTTTCCGGATATGTTTCACCACTGATGAATTCAACAGCCTTTGGTATTCCCACCTATTTTTTTTCATTATTTTCCACACAAAGATCCATCACCCTTTTCTGCGGGTTCGTTACGGCACCCGCAGCTTGACAGACGCACAACCCGATCCATCCCCTCGGCCATCGCACGGCGCGCGCCCGATGGATTTTCGCGAAGACCAACCAACCCCCAATCCGGGAGGGTTGGTGCGCACGGCCCAGGGGCCCGACGCCACCCCCTTGGCGATCGATCCACCCGTGGGGAGCCCCGTGGAGTTCTACCACCAAACCCTTCTGAGCCTGCTCCAGTCCGAGCGACGGCTGCAGCGGGAGATGGTGCGCCAGCAGCAGGTGCTCCACCGGCTCGCCGAGGGCGCCGCGCGGCTCCTTGTCCTCTGGCAAAGCAGTCGCGCGCACGCCGCGATGGAGTACCACTCCCTCCACGAGCTCCTCCTCCTCGAGGACGAGGACGGGGACGAGGGCCACGCCCGCGGTGACCACAACGGCGATAACGAGAACACGAGCACCAATGGCGAAGACGACGGGGAGGCGGAGAGCCCAAGTCCGTCGGCGGGCGCGGCCGTTGAGCGGCGCATCGCCGCGCGTCTGCTCGACGTGCGGGGACTTCCCCCGGCCCACGCGCTGCTCTGCGGCTCGCTCACGGAGCACTCGCTACGGCGGCTGCTGCCCCACCTCCGGCGATGGGTCCGCGTCGTCGGCAACCACCTCCCGACGACCACCACGCACGAGCGCGGCAAAGACGACGAGGAGAACGCGGGGGAAGACGGCCGCCGCCCCATCCAACCCCTGCTGGACCGCGCCACGGCCTTCACGCTCGTCGCGAGCGCCCTGGACCGGCTCTTTGGCTTCCTGCAGGCCATCCTCGACGGGGCCACGGCGGCGGCCGGACCCTCGGTCTGTAAAGACGTCCAGGTGCGGCCGCACCTGCGCTTTCTGCTCGTCGACGTCGAGGAGGCCCGGGACGTCCTGATGGAGGAGGCGATCTACCGCCGACAGCAGGGCCTGCTGGGCGGGGCCTCCCTCCGCTCTTGGACAGGGACCAGGCCGACCTCACCGCCGCCGCTCCGCGAGCTGCTTCAACTGCTGCGGGAAACAAACGCGGGCACCCGACGCGATTCGCTCGGTGAGGGGAACCGCGGCGTGAGTGCAAAGCCGCAATGGATGACCATTGCGAACGTCGCGCGGATAGCCGAGAAGGCCGACAACGTGTGCGTCCTCCTAAAGGGGTGTATCGAAACCCATTAAGGGAAACACAACGGGCTGACTTATGTGGTATACCAAATGTGTATGTAAGGAGGGAGGGGGGGGGGAGGGGGTCATGCGTTCCTTGTCCTGTGGAGAAGCGCTACCCCATCTCAAACACCACACCCTGCAGTGGTAGAACAAAATATGACGTATCCCTCTATTCATTGCCGTTATTACCCTTTATACCACTACGTCAAGGCTGCTCCCTTCTTTTTGTTTATTTTTGCTTTTACACATTCTGCTATTCATTGTCTTTTCAATTAGTTTCATAGCTTTCCAAATGAGATATGGAGCCTATGATGATCAAAAGAAATTTATTACTCTGAAACCCCAATGAAAAGGAGCGATGTGCCTACTCGATTTAACTGCGGTTAACGCATTTGCTTAATTTTTCTCCTTTACACTCTTTAATTTTTTCTACACGTACAGATTGTGTAAATTTCAGGGATATAATCTATAATTTCTTCTCTAGAAAATAATCTTTGTTCCATCCCATAGTTTTAGTTAAACGATTCAACAGAATATTACTCATCTACTATATACGTATTTATATTCTATATTTTCAGTGGTAACATTGGTTTCTTTTGAATACTTTTACTTGTTTTTTTTCTTTTGCTCGTGTCCTGTCTAGAAGTAGTGATCTAAACCAATCAATTTACATGATCTTCCTTTTGGTAGATGGGGACTACTTTCTAACGGGGTTCATGCCGAACTCCGATACAGAGGTGAAGGAAGCGGTGGAGCAGCTTGAGGCTGCCCTAGTGGATCTCATCCGTGGGGGAGATGCCTCGGTCTCGAAGGAGGGCGCCGTGATCAGCTTTGACGTCCGAGTCATGTTCTTCTCCTCCGCCTTCTTCAACGCACTGGAGGAGCACCAGCGCAAAATCGTCACCTCCGCCACGCGCCGAGTACGGTTTCAAATAACCGTGTTGGAAAGCGTCCGCGGCCGCACAGGCTCTCCGGTGGATGCGGCGCTCTGCACCAAGGCCATCACCCTCGCAATGATGCCCAAACACGGGGAAGGCGCGAACAGGGATTCCGTCATCGCACCAGGCCAGATCTTCTGCTTTGTAACCCCCAACGCGTATATCGCATCGGCGCTGGGTATTCTCACAAGCCGTGGCTGCGACGCCCTCTTCGCGATCTACGAAGGCGACGACATCGCGGAAGAGTTGCTCGGCTACATCAGCGCCTCCTACGGCACTGGGATCGCTACGGTGGAAAAGCGCGAGGGGATTTCTTTCATCCCCAACACCGAAGCGGCCTCTGCGGTGCTGGCCGCCCTTCAGCGGGAGGGTAAAGAGTTGCCACTCGCTGTGGTGGTGCAACTGAAGCGGCTTCAAGACAGCCTGATCGATGACCCTTCAACGGACGTAAATGTTGGCGTCACACAGGGAGCAATCCATCAGAAATATAAACGCAAAGTTAGCGAGGAACTGTCGCTCTTCTCACCGCCGCCACTGCAAGGCCTGCCCAATCCGTTTGCCAGGGAGGAGGAACCCCACAAGGCCCTTGAAAGCGACGACAGCACTCGCTCATCTAGCAAGGATGCGGTCCCAGATAAAGAACCGCCGCATCCAGAGCCTCCAGAAAATGACAGCCGCCTACCCGCCACCCCACCCCACCCCACCCCGCTGACGGATCCCAGTGATGTGAACCTTTCCGAAGCCGCCGCATCGGAGCCGGCGGTGTCGACGGAGCTCCCCCCTGGCTGGATCTTGCGGTACCATCCGGGCTCCCGGCGCCACTATTACGTCCACACCGATTCGCAAAACACCATTCAGTCGACCTGGGTGCATCCGTTAGGGCAGAAGAAGCAAGCCGAGTTGGAGCGCCGTGCCGCGGCCAATTACCACACCGTCCATCCCAACACCTCATCGCAGTCCCCCATGGCGCTCCCGCCAAATTGGGAACAGCGAATTGACCCACGAACGGGGTGTGCGTACTTCGTCAACCACATCACTCGGGAGACCACATGGACGAGGCCGGAGAACCCCGCGGTGGGGTTTGCGCGCCCCCACCCCCAATCCCCACAGCCGGCGACCCACAACCCTACGAACGCGCAGGATGAGTGGGAGTCCCGCGTGGATCCGAAAACAAACCGCATCTTTTACGTCAACCACGCCACGCGGCAGACGTCGTGGACGAGGCCGGGTGCCCCTTTGCCGTATTTACCACCCAATTGGGAAGCGCACGTGGACCCGCAGACAGGGCGAACGTTTTTTATAAACCATGAGACAAATGAGTCGTCGTGGAATATACCCGTATGATTAATTGTTTTATAGATATATTATATTTATCGATCTTGTCTTTAAGAAGCGCATAAAGCGCATAAATCGACGGTTTATCCGTATCAAGATGACTTGTATGTTCAGAGCTCCATACAGGTGCTATCCAATGTGGTGCATAGAATGTGTTTTGTCATTGTATGGCTATTAGTTCCTTTTGTGTGTCTTCTTAAGGGATAAAAAAAAAGATTTTCCCCATTCTCCAGCGTGATAATCCATGTTTCCCCCCGTTTAGGCAAACTTACATTTTTTGAATTCGTGCCAGAAGAATTAGATTATTAGGTTTTAATTATCGATAAACACCACGTAGAATACTATAAAATCATTTGTATTACACTATTACTCCCTAGTCCAATCACCCTTTGCTTATTTACGATATCTGCGCGTTGCACAGAGAAGCCGTTATGACTCCAGCTGATGTCTTAAATGGAATCCCCTTCCAGCACACCTCCCCTTTCTCGTTGGTACAAACCTCCTTCATCACCTCGTCGAATCGCTCCGCGTTTTTCCCTTTGAGCACCGGCTCGTAGGAGGCGGTGTGGCCCTCGAAGACTACCCGCTCCCCCACCCCGCTCCCCGCCGGGATGTCGAGCAGCACCACCTCCCGGGCCGCCTCCCCGGCAGAGGACGAATTCTCCGGGGTTCTCTCCGCAGACGCGCACATGACCATGCCATCGGAGACAATCCCTGCAACCCGGCGCGGCTTCAAATTCGCAATCACGAGCACCAAACGGTTCAGGAAGTCCTCCTCGGTGATGAACTCCTGCAGACCGCTAAGAATCGTGCGCGGCTCATTGTTCGTGAAGGCGTTAAGCTCGGGACCGAGATCGATCTTCTCGATATAGAGCTTGTTGCTCTCGGGATGTTTTCTGACCTCAACAATCCTTCCTACTGCAAAGCAACAGCGCGACATCGCGGTCGCTTCGCTCGGGGCCCCCTTTTTCTTCGGCAAACGAGCCGGCTTGACGGGTCCTTGGTTTTCTGAATTCTGGACGGAAGAGGCGGTATCCGTGACCTCTTGTGGGACCTTCAGGCTCCCGATCCATGATTCCACAAAGCGAATCGATTTGTTAAGTAGTCGACCTCCATTTGATGGTAGCATTGCTGGTTTGGTAAATAAGTCGGAAATAAATATTAAGATTTTCGATAACTAATAACAGGCATAAATATGGAAAAAAAGGAAAAGAAATAACAAGTAAAGGACTCGAGAAAACAAGGAGTTGATAAAATCGATTAAATAAGCAAATTCCGGAGCGATCGAGAAAAGCAATACATATAGGGTTTTTTAAAAAAAAAGAAGGAAAAAGCATTCCTTGTTAAAGTATTCGCATACCGATATTAATACCTTTTCTAGTTATGATCCACCTTCCCGTTTCCAATCTAAAAGCAAACGTCCGGGTTAATCCGAGTCTGTGGGGAGGGGAGGGGGTGGGAGGGCGATTCATTCACCCCTCCCGCTGCAGGTCCGTGGCGTGGACCTCTGCCGGGACGTAGAGCAGCGGCCAACTGCTCAGATGCCGCGTGTTGTACTTCCGCTCAATCAGGGCGAGGACGTTGCGCACGGTGAGAACCGTAAGGACCTGAGAATGGGAAGAGGCACCGCCTCGCAGGCCCCTGCGCCTTCCAAACCGCTCCTTCGCGCGCTCCACCAGCGTGATCGCCGCGTAGTAACGGAAAGGGCCGTGCGGCGGGCTCGCGGTAAGGTGCTGATAGAAGAAGGTCATGAATTTGACGTTCTGCTCGAAGATTCCGATCGCAACGTCGACATCGTCCGGGGCGCCTCCGCTGTAGGGCGCGGACGAACTGGGAGATCCAAGAGCGAAGATGGGGCTAGTCCCCCCCGGCGAGGGATTCCCACCACGACCGCTAACACTTGGAGCTAAATTTGCGTCTACCTCCATTACTATTGATAGTCACCTGAAAGAGTGTGGTGCACTCTGTGGAAAAAAAATAGCGATGTATGTGTACTGTAGGACAAGTTCAATGGATCCGATTCATGAAAAAACAAAGGGCAATGGATAAAAATAGTTTAGTAATAATCACTGTCGTACTTAAAGATTTGATAAAAAAAAGAATATTACAGATAGCGTCCCATAGACCCCAGACACAACCTTACATTCTTACCGACGCATTTTTTCCATGCCGGCAGCGACTGTCTCCTGACAACAGCAACCAGCTCTCCTCTTTTGATGAATCCTTGTCTTTGTGCCGTCCTCATTCCGAAGGCAAAGAGCGCGGGTTATTTTTTCCCTTACACGCCCCGGGCTTGATATATCCTAACACAGACACCTCTCCGCGTTTCACAGATTCATTAAACTCTAGACGGGTACAGCACCCGCTTCGGCTTCGACGGAGGTCCATATAATTGCTCGCACCGCTTCTCAAAGCCCCGCGTCATGACGTCGACTATATTAGATGAAATAATCTTGCTGTAGAGGGGGTTTCTAAACTCGAACACCAATGCGAAGCGCACCTCAACCTCGTTCGGGTGCCCTGGCACGGGCAGGAAGTTCCACTCACACGACAGGTAGTTCAAAATCGACTTCCCAGAGCCCCCCATCACCCCCGCTGAGCTCGCGGCTCGATAAAGAAGCGAGGCAAGCATGCCGGCAGGCCTTTGATCACAGCTGACGTCGTCGCCCCCCTTCGAATCGGGCGGGTTGTCGTCCGCCAGCTCAACCGAAATGCGCGAGAAGGGCAGCAGCATCACGCGCGACGTGTACTGCTCGCGGAAGATGGAAAAGCCCACGCAAAGCGAGGCCTGGAGCTCGACGGCGGGCTCGTCCTCGCCGGGGGCCCCCGCGGGCGTGATCGGGCGCGTGCTGTGGACCTTCGCGCCCAGGCACCACGGCAGGAACGTGCTGTACTGCTCCACGTCCGCCACCACACGAAAGAGCGCGCGCGGCGACCAGCCGAGGACGCAGCGCTCGTGGTGGACGTGCCGGTGCGTGGAAGGGGGGGGAGCGGCCTGAAGTCGCGTTTTCGTCAGGGGAGCGTTCAAAGCCGTTTGAAAGGCCGTTTTCGCAGGGTGGGAGTTGGAGCCCGGCGGCGGCGGCGGCGGCGTTTTCGCGGGCTCGGGGTAGTGGTGGTGGTTGCGGAGCAGCCGGTGCAGGTCCATCCGCGCGGACGGCGGCGGTGAGGGCGGCCCCGCGGGGGCCCCGTCGTCGTCCGGGACACTACGCCGCTCGTCCGGTGTGCCATGATCATTGGTGTTAACATTGATACTAGTGTTGGTGTTAACATTAGTATTAACGTTAGCGTTAGTGCTGATATTGGCGTTAGCATTAGTGCTCGTGTTAACATTAACGTTAACGTAGTTTCGGGTGCGATGGGTACGATTAAGCTGGCCGACCATAAAAGGCTGCGCATCCGACGCGGTCGGCGGCGGCGGTGGGCGAAACGCGTTCAACGTCGCGGAGACCATGAGCGGGACGGAAAAGGGCGAGTGGTGGAGCTCCGGGCGATCCGCCTGGTCATCTTGCGGAAGATCGGTGCGATGCTCGCCAACTTCGGGATCATCGGTCCGGTTGCCATGTAGACGCCGCAAAGAAGGAAGGAAGCGATCGGAAAGGAATAGATTCCGCATTGACATAAGAAGTAGGTTGGGAAATAGGTGCCTCGAGGGTCCTGTGAGCCGAGGACTCGAAGAGACTCTCCTATAGTGGTAGTGACACCGTGAAGTGAGGACGGAAGATATCTTAGAACCGCGCATCACACGGATTAGGTTTGGAGTCAAGGTGCTAAATTGGTATGTTGAAACTAGCTCCCCCAGATATGTTTTTCTTCAGGAAAGTTTGCTACTTTGATATATGAGAAACAGATGTATATGTATGTATATTAACACATTAATAAGCAAACGTAAGTGAAGATTAGGGTCTAGGTGGTCTAAGATATAAAAAATCCTAAAAAAAATGCTAGTTTTCGGTAAGATCCAAAATTTTCAGAACAATTATAAAAACAAATAAATGTAAAAATATTATTAATATTAAAACTAAATATGTGACTTTAGCTCTCCAAATGACACACAAAAAAACTCTCGGGGAAAAAACGATTCGCACAAGAGTAAGACCTATTGTTTTAAGTAGAAAAAGTATAGGCGCTCAATCAATGTGTGAAAGAAGAAAAGAATGGGAATGGCAAAAATTTGATCGATTTGGAATTGACAAAGGAATACAAACATAATATAGGAAGGGGCACACCTAATAAATAAAGTAGATGTAATTTTTGAACCCTGTATCCTAAATAAATAGAACCAATTGCTATGACAACATTGAAAAGAAGTATCAGTAATAATAGAATGATGAGGTAAGAATTTAACAAACGAGTGAGCGGATTACCAATGAAAATTCCAAATTACTAACACATACATGTGTTTATAGAGGGGATCCCTAGGAAAAGAAAAAGCCAGTTCAAATTAATGTATAAAAAATAGAACATTGTGTAAAAGTATTAATTACATATACCTTTGTTCTACTATTTTCATAATATTAAAAGGGAAATACATATTTTTACGCATCTTTTTTCATAGTTTGTCTTCTTTTTTCAAGTTGTGGATAAATTTATATTTAAAAAATTGGAAACATATGTCTAATTCAAATCGCCGAAGGAACACGGATAGAAAAGTAACATATTGAATTCCAATAAAGTAACTGAATAATTGAGAAGCGCTTTGAAATATCAAACAGATTTTCAAAAAGATGAAAATATAAAGGACATACCCTTTTCAGGGAGAAAAGTAATAATTAATTCCGTGAGAACCAACCCCCCTGGCTAGTGTCCGTGTGACATTGAAGGTCATTAAGTACATCACCTTCAACAACCTGACGTAATGTACATTTTTTTACCCTGTTATTATCAGAGGTCACAGCACCAATACACAAGTTAAACTTCTCTTTTACCGTGCATCGCCACAGGCAAACGGGAAAGTGTCCTCTTGGAATCAATCCTCGTATGTTGAACCAACACAAAAAAAAAAATCATTAACTATACATACGTGAAACCAACCCACATAACATAAAAATTGATACCAGTAATACATAATGGCTTCATAAAATAAAAATTATATATATATATATATATATGTATATATAAAACGGCAGGATGATCACTTGTCACCCCTTATCTCCCTCCTCCTTCCCCCCCTACACCCACCCCACCTTTCCTCTCCGTTCGCTACGAGCGCACCATCGCGACGCGCTCACGCAAGCACTCCAGTTCCTCCATCTCCACCGATCGAATCTGCTCCTCGTGGAGTTTCTCCTCCATCCGCTGCTCAACGGCGGCGCGGTGGCGACCGCGCCGCAGCGCCTCCTCCACCTCGTGAACCTCCGCCAGCAGATGGCGATGGCGGTCGTGAAGCCGCGTTTTGTACGCCCCGCTCTCCTCCACAGCGTCCTGCAAACGGCCGTGGCGAGCCCAATGGGAGGTCCGCCGGGCCTCGGCCGACCGTGTGCGGGTCTCCAAAAGACCCTGTCGGGAGCTCTCCCGGGCCGCCGCGGAGGTCCACCGCGCGCTCGCGACGAGCCCCCGCACGAACGCCACGTGGTCCTGCTCTAATTGCCGAAGCCAGGCCCGGCGATAACCCGCATCACCCCCATTTGGCAAGGGCGTGTTTGGCGAGCGAAATGTCCGCTCCCAGCCTTTTTTAAACTCATTGAAGAGCGTCCGCCCCGGCGTTCGCTGGATCACCGGCAGCGGCAAATTCTCGTGGTCGATCGGAACCTCCCCTGGGGTGGAGGAGGGAATCACCATTTTATTCAGGGTGAGGGGAGGAATCACCGCGTTATCCGGGATAGGGGAAGGAATCGCCTCTTTGTTAGACGCGACCATGCGAAGCCGTCGCCAGCGCTGGGCGGCGCGGTTCTTCGCCTTGTCCTCGTTATCAAGTTGCTCTATCAACGAGGCGATCGCCCCGCGCGCCCTTTCGTTCGACTGGCGAAGCTCCTCGACGGTCTGCGCGCGGCGCTCGCGAATTCGTTCACGCTGCAGCCGCACCGCGCTGAAATGTTCAGCCGGGGTGATCGTCAACTCTTCCTCCGGCGGCGACCCCTCCATGTTGAGGCCCAAAACCACTGCGTAGTAGGCTGGCGGCAAATCAAAGGGCTTCCCACGCAGGTAGCAACGTCGCGCCTCGAGAATCGCCATCTCGTAGTCCTTCTCCTCCTCAATGCGTTTGGTCTCGTCCGCGCGCCGGGACGCCTCGAGGGCGTGCATTAAACGGCGCTGCCATCGTTCGGGCGTTCGCGGTCGACTACGATCGTCCGTCAAGGAAATCGAAAAGGGGTTCCCCATGGATTTCAAAAAGCCCCCGGAGTCCCGGTTCGATGGCGCCCCAGCCTCATTAAGGGTTTTTGAGGACTTAGTAGGGACGGTCATCGGCCGCTCAGGGTCCTTATCCTCATTGTGGTGGTGAGGATGGTGGTTCTTCCCCCAGTTGGAATTATACTTGGCGTAAAGTGATCGGCTTAGTTTTTGATACCGCCACCGCGCGTAGTCGGCCTCTTTCCGCTCCCAAACCTCGTCGTGGCCGCATTGAAGAGCGCAGCAAAAGGCCGAGGTGTACACCGCACCTGCCGGGGGTGAAGATGAAGAAGAACCCCCTTCTCCCACAACGTATTTGGGTACGGCTGTGAGGGTGTGCAGCCCCACCGTCCCCACCCCGTAGGCCTCCACCACAGGAGGCCGTGCGGATGAGGTTTGGAATCGCGCCCGACCCTGTCGTCGGGAGGGGGCCCTCCCTTCCGCTTTTTCCGTGTGGGGGGGGTTCCCCAAGTGAGCCTCGCATGCGGAAACGGGAGAGGGATGAGAATCACCCCCCCCATCGTCGAAGGACTCCGCAGCTGGCGTATAATGTGTCATTCCTGTAACAGAAACCCAACCCACACAAACTGTAACTACAAATAGAGTGGTGTATGTATATATATAACTAACAATAAAAACTACGAATCGTTATACTGGGCGAAGACATGTGGTATATTATAAGACTTCCCTTTAAAGAAAGGAAAAAAACGGTGACACACGAAAGTAATGGTAAAGTGGATTAAAAGTTGCATCCTTAATGGTTAAAAGAAAAACCTATCCAGGGAACACCATTATTTTTTTTTGGAAGTCTTGGAGAATAATACAAGCGGCCAAGGACAGGCCTACTCTCATATAAATAGAAAACCATACTGTAATCAATGAAAAAAACATCTATAAGAACACAACCCTCCTACATAAAATTAATAATTGGAAAAAATGAGAAACATCAACGGATTACTTACCGAGTTGAATCGTTTTTATTATAATAATTGAACGAAAGAAAAGGGAAAGGTGTCATATTTGTTTCTTCCGGAATTGGTATTTTAAATAGATTCAGAGAATATACTATGCAATAAAGTGTTAAAATAAATGCAACACTTCGAAAGGGAAAATAATACCCTTCTTTAATGACTCATGGGTAAGGAAAACCCCATAAGTATGATAAAAGATAGACTTGCAGATCTCCTTCAGTGAAATATCTATCCTTCACGATGTCATGTTAAACTGTCGGTTTAAATATTTCTTAGCACGACATTTACAGATCATGCAACACACGGATCCATGGGTTGTCTAGTCTCGCGGTTTAACATCTTTTTTTTTCATGTCTGTTCGCTACTCTTCCCTTCACTCCGCAAACACTGAATAACCCATGAGTACCAGGTGATTGTAGCCTCACTGTTACAAATACAAACACCCCTTCCACCTCCACATGCCCATAAGAGAGAACCATAGCTAACGAAGAGATGTAGCAACCTCATCGTTGGAGGATCTCGATGTAGTGCGGAGTGGACTCCCAAACACTTCATAGAAGTCTATCCCTCAACGCTCCTTTTAATGTGTGCATTTGAGGAAATATGGTGGCTTGCCATATACCCTTTTATGGCATTTCCTTTCAATAAATTCAAGGTCAATAATGTCATCAGTGTCTATTGATCTACAATAATAAGAGTGGATGCTTTGGAATATATCGATACCATGCAAAAATTCACCCATTTTAACTTTGCTGCATGATTTTTATTCTTATAAACATTTCAATCTCATTGGGGGCGTAGCTCCAAGTAAGAATTCTAAACTAATATGGATGGGTTGATTGGATTATATATCGATCGTTTCCAACAGGCTAAAATACCTCAGTAATAAGAGATAAGAATTTAAAAAAAAATAAGCGCATTCTATTTAATGCCCGTGTGAATATATCATCCCAGCGTAGGAATATAATATTAATAAAATAAGCTTCCTCATTATTGAAGCCCAAGGAGTTGTTGGTGAAAGGCTTCACGTGTTTAAGTGGATATAGATATGCACTAATAAGGAAGACGAGAAGAATATGGATTCAAAAAAAAGGAGATGGGTAGTGAGCTTAGGACTAACTGCGTATTTAACCTTTGGAAAAATAATCCTTCGCAAGATGACAGTTCAAAAAAAAAGGATGTCAGGCATGAAATGCTGGAGAAAAAACTACGTACGCTTGCAAACATATATTACACTGGGAAGTGTTGTTTATTGAAACGTTGGCTTGAAATTAAAAAAATGCTTTTCGGGAATAAAAAAGATTGAGATATTAACACGCAACATGGAAGGAAAATAAGAAAACTCCGTTATGATGTTGTTAGAAACAAGCTCTATTGGGGAAAAGCCACTAAAAAAAAGGAAGTTTATACTACACTACAGTTACAATGCAAATTCATAAATGAAAATACTGAAACACACACACATACACACAAAAGAAACATCATCATGTGTGTGTGTGTGTGTGTTTGTGTGCATATCAGCTGAAAATCGTAAATAAGAAATTTATTCCCTAAAATTGAGGAAATATATAACAAAAGTAAGGTACATAAACACACACCTACCTACACTATCCCTTGTGACCCTGTTGATCGTAGTTATTGTGGAATCCGCATAAAAGATAAACAGCTTCACCTTGAAACGTACGATGCCCCGAGCAAGATCAAATTGAAGAGTTGTGCCAAACACAACCTCAAATCATGGTATCCCGAAGGTTTCAAAAGAAAATAACAAAAAAAGATACATCCAGATATATGATACCCATCTGAGACTAAATAAAATCACGCATAGGGGTCGTAATCGCTCGGTGCGAGGAAGTAATCAAACATTTCCTTAGGACCCATCAGCACGCTTCGGAAAAAACCACGTCGGACATACCCTGGCATGTCATAATCCTCGCCACCACCACCGTCGTGGTAGTAGCCATACCTACCACGACGTGCTCTGCCATCGTGGCGGCGCTCGCGCCCGCCGTTCGAGGTCAACGCCCCAGACGGGAAGTACCTCCTCGAGTAGTAAAATACCACATAGCCACACCCACACAAGATCCCCGTCTGCACCACCAATCGCCCGATGGAAGCGTAGTACAGGCGCAGGCGGTACTGCACGCGGCGGCGGATCGCCCCGGGCGACCAATCATACCACGCCGGCGCGTCGTAGCCCGAATCGCGGCGGCGCCATTCCGCCTCCGCGGCGCGCTGCCGCTCCGCCTCCTCCGCCCGCCGCCGCTCCTCCCCCTCCACCCCCACCGCGCGCATCCCATCGCTGAGCAGCACCCCCAACGAGCGGAACTGATCCGCGTTGAGGGCGCTGTAGTCGAGCTCGTGGTGGTGGGTGAAGTAACTGCGA